TGGTCTTTTAATTACAGAATCAGTAAGGACTGACTTTGTGTGCTACAGGATTCCCAAAATGGCTTTGCTAAGCAGAGGAGCTTCCCAGCAACACTCTAGGTATGAACCCAGCAGTATTTTTGTGTGATCTGCCAGCCTGCCCCAGTTTGTGCAGGAGTAGAGGGATCAATGGACCAGGGCAGTCCTGTTACTTCCAGACCTGATCGCTTACTTGAGGACTTAAGTTTTAAAAGAAAACAATAAAAATTGCCTCTTCTCAGGTGTCTGTGACTGGAGTGCTGCAGCTGAGCCAGATGCTTGGAAGGGCTGCAATTGGTTTTGAATTTTATATTCAAATTATTCAAGTCAGACTATTCCCCAGTTTTAACTGATTAAAGATTCAGCCCTTAATATCTTTTTTAAAGTGTCTGGGGTAATATACTAAATACATCATGCTATTTCCATATTTTTAAACATACATATAAACCCAGCAGCTTGCATTTTGTATTGAGCCGGGTATTTAGAAAGGGATTTGAAGGAGAACAGGGTAGTAGTCTGGGCTTTTAGTCCCAGGAAGACTGTACAAGTACATCTGATGGCCTGAGGCTTAAAAGAAACACGTGGTAGCAGAAGCAGGTATACCAACAAGTTGAGCATGACTTGTTACACAAATGGGAAGCGCTTGTATTTGCTTTATTCTAGTCTAGTTTTATGAATGTATGTGAAAGATTCTCTAGAAGCCTGGCTTCCAAATCTAAATAATACAGTATAGAATTTCATAGGACATATGGATAATGTAAAAATTCTTGAAGCTTCTTATATTTCACTAAATTGTGAACATTTTGTATTAGTAAAACTAAATAAAAAACCTCTCACGTATTAGTGATGTTCAAATAAATATTCCATAGTTAAATTTGGATTTTGAGTAAGAGGCTAGCAAGAAATCCTGAATTTTTTAGAAAAAACTGAGTACTGCAATTAAAAACTTAACTAAAAGAAAACCTTCAGTATCTTATAAAAGTTAGGTATAAACATGTTTGTTTTTTACAAGCGTGTTTACTGTAGTGTGCAAATTATAACTAAAAACAATCTCGGTACCAGAGGACTGGATGGTTGCCAATGTGACAATATTTATACAAGGTTCTAGAGGGAATGCAGGGAACTACAGGTCAGGGAGCCTAACTTCTGTTTCTGGAAAACTGGTAGAAACCATAATAAAAAAAAATTGTTCAATTGGTAGAAGCCATAATACAAAAAATAATTGTTCAGCACATGGATGAACATGACTTGCTGGGCAGGAATCAATATGGCTTTGTTGAAGGGAAATCATGCCTCACCAACCTATTAGAGTTCTTTGAATGTCAGTAAGAGGGGGATCAGGATTATCTGGTTGGGCAACTAAATGTCAGATGAAATTCAATGCAGGTAAGTATAAAGTAGGGGGTACACTGATATATCGGTTGTCTTTCAGATAGGCACTGATAAAAGGAGAAAAGACAATAGTTATCCACTTTTTTTGGTCGTTGTAGCTGATAATTATAGCTATGTGCCTGGAACACCCTGGCAAGCATAGTCCAGGCACTGAGCCCTGCTGCTGGCCTGAACCCATGGCAGACTCCAGGTCCTGGTGAGCAGGCACCAGGGCTGCCGCAAAGATGTTGGGCTGCGTGTGGGTGGGGTAAGGCGCCGTGCAAGGGACACTGCACTCCACTGGGCACCTTTGCAAAAGCAGCATTTTCCTGGCAGCTGTGGGAGCTTGGCTGCATGGGGTCCACCAGTGCTATGGCAGCAGCATGCTCTGGAGCACCAAACAAGCCTGGTGCCACTGTCTGCGCAAGGGTCTCCCCCAGGATAATCAGCTGAGAAAATCTTTATCAGTGCATCCCTAGTATACAGTGATGCACCTGGGCAAAAATAACCTAAACTATACCTATACTATGATGGGCTCTACATTAGCTTTTACCACACAAAAAGAGATCTGGAGTCATTTTAGACAGTTTGCTTAAAATCAACTCAGTGCTAAGCATCCATCACAAAGGCAAACAATGCTAGGGATTATTAAGAACAGCATTGTAAATAAAACTGAAAGTATTATGCCCCTTTATAAATCCATGTTGTGTCCACACCTTGAATACTGTGCCCAGTTCTGGTCCCCACACCTCAGAAAGATATAAAAGAAGTAGATAAAGTACAGAGAAGGGCAACCAGGATTATTAATGGTACAGAGGGGCTTCCATATGAGGAGAGACTAAACAGGCAAGGCCTATTCGGTTTAGAAGAGATGCTTGAGGGGAGATATGATAAGGGTTTACAAAACACTACATGGTGAAAGAGAAACTGAATAGGAATTTATTATTTACTCTCTCTGAATAAAAGAATTAGGTGCGGTCACAAAATGAAACTAGTAGGTAGTAAGTTCAGAACTAACAAAAGGAATTTCTTTTTCACACAGTATGTAATTAAAGTGTCGAACTCATTGCCACCAGATGTTATGGAAGCTAGCCAGATTCAAAAAGGGAATGAACAAATTTGGGGAGGAAAGGGATATAGTAGCAATTGAGCATGGGAATTAGGGATACGGCCTCTCAATTAAAACTTTCTAGAACAGTGGAAAAAAACCCCTGGTCATACACAGGGTTCACACACTCTCCCCTTCATCATCCACTCTCTGCTACTGTGTGACACTGGGCGAGAAGGACCTACATAAATAGCAATTCTTATGTTTTAAACAGTTAAAATGTTCTAAAAAAATCACTACATACACAAAACCTGTAATATGAAGGAAACTTTTATTTTCCAGTTGTAATTCAAAAGATTTACAGCGTTGTGAAATTTACTAGTGAGACAACAATGAAAAACACATCTCTGGTAAAAAGCAAACTTGGAAGAAACATTTATACAGCATAAATTAATGTTAAGTGCTTACGTAATTAAAATCATTTTGCATAAACCTATTTTTGTGCTGTATAATTCTACTCGTATATCAACATAAATCTAAAATACATTTTTAAACAATATATATCCATATCAAAAAGCTATTAACTTTCTCATGTTTATGGAAAACACTTCACTGTGTGCAGTTAATCTTGGCTTTCCCAAATTTCACTCAAACAATTTAAAATTGCATCTTATAATCAGTTTTTCTGCAAAATGTCTTACCCCTCTTCTTCTCCCTATTAAAATGTATAATATAATGAGGCAAAAGCAACTCCCCAGTTCTTCTACCCAAATTACCATAACATTAAGATTAGAATGACGCACCTACAAATTTAAGCACAAGTAGTAAGCCCTTAACTTGCTAGAAGCATTAATTATTAGTGAGGACAAAGTTGCCCCAAGACAAAGTAGCTTAAAAAGGTACTTAGGTGATAGACTATTCATCTAGGCAACTAGTAGGACATTTCAAAAGCATGAAGCTGGTTAGGTGCCTGACTCGAAAATGATGAAAATGGTCATCTGAGCAAGAGTACTTAAGAGAGTACGAAATCCTTTTCTATTTCTTTTTTAACAAAAGAAAACACTTTTGAACTGCCTCTGTGAGTAGTCTTGCCTTTTACAGCAACTTCATCTAATTAAAATGCTAAGTAAAAGAGACTGTTTGCAGGGCCAATATAGCAATAGAAAAGCAAAGTGAACAGGAGTGAAAGCTTGGAATTGGAGAAAGTTAGACAGATATGTAGGAAGTAGGAACAAGTTCTGATCCAAAGCTCATTGAAGTTAATGGAAAGCCTATCAGTGGGTTTTGAATTGGCCCACATAGAATAGGAACACATTACATTTTTCTTTCTTGCTTTTTGGAGTATAACTAAGAGCTTAATAGTGAACATTAAGTATAGGGTTCTGCTTTTCAGGTGTGGTTAACTAACCATCCAATTAAAGTAAAAGGGAGGCTCGAGTTTGACTTGTTTAATTTGCCACCTAGACACAACTGCTTTTAGTCTTAGATGCTACCAAGACTACTTGGCTATCAAACAACCTGATCCAAAAATAGAGTAGGAGTTTATCCTTGGAAGAGCTCTTCCCAATTAAAAAAAAAAAAAAAAAAAAAAAAAAAAAAAAAAAAAAAAAAAAAAAAAAAAAA